TCTTCCACTGAGCTTGGTTTTGTTTTTATTTTTAATGGAGTTTTGTGGGCTTTTTTAAAAAAAAAATTCACTGCCATTCTTTCTTCTGTCTTTTCCTAATATGATATACCATGTAAATAAAACTGTCAGATCTTTAAAAACTAGGGGTGTTGTCCTGAATGGGAGCAGTCACTTGATAGTAACTGTCCTGAATGTGTCTCAAGCCACTGGCTTGAGTGTGACATCCAAAATGTGTCACTGCTTCTCGGGAGAGCTTAGGACAGGCGCAACGGACAGAAGAGATTCTCACACATGACTGTTTGATTGCATTATGTGTTTACTAGGTCAAAGCATAACAAACACACATCAATACAAACACTCAAAGGGAAACCCGGTCCTCTAGCAGTTAAGAGTCCCAAAGTCTCTTGGAGTACCTTCCAGAGGTTAAGCCTTCAGGCACTCCATGTGGAGAGGTTCTCTAGTCCGCCGTGATCAGTGCACTCTCCCGGCTGAGGAGCTGTCTCTTGCAGGTTCTGATCACGTCTGGTCGTGGCAGACTCCCGTCAGTCTCTGGCTCTCAGGCTGAGGTCCTCGATCAGGTCTCAGGCGAGGCTCCGGTCTGGTCTCGGGCAGAGCTTCAGGTAGCGGTCTCAGGTTTTGGGCAATGTGCCGGGATGAGGCCCACAGATTCAGAGTCTCGCGTGGCCAAGCATCAAAAGAATCTTTTTAGCTACCAGATTTTATATATTTCTTTTCTGGCTGAAGTCCTTCTGACTTACGTCAGTAACTTCAGTGTTTTCTTGAGATATGGCTCACACCCTGTGGTCACTTATCACCAACACACAGACACTCAACTCACATAGGTTCTGTTTGGTTGCTGAGTTACAACTTAGCTTCTTATCTACTTATCTATTTCACACAGTGTCACAGCAATGTTCAGTTTGGTTTCAGAGTTTACAGAGTTAATATTCATCTTTAATTTCTGATTTCTAAATTCCTAATAAATTCCTAATACATTCAGTACATACAGTTATACAATACTGAAGTCACTATAAACCCCATAAGACATAAAATTGAATGAGGTTTTAACCATTAAAAAAGATCTCCATTTCATTATCAAAGTATACTGTTTCATACAGAAAATGTAATTTTAAATGCAACTAACACTTAGATGTTTGCACATGCATCTCTAATCTCTATATATCTAATTACTACTAGTCACAATAGGTTACTTTCTGAGATCCTTGGCACCTGAGCATGGATATAAAGTCATCACATAGATTTCAATGATAATGTTTTTCACATCTACTAATTATTAAGGAGCAAATTTTTATGCTTTGAAGA